ATTATTATTATTATTATTATTATTATTATTATTATTATTATTATTATTATTATTATTAAAATATTATTTTTATATATTACTATTATTTAATTATTATTATTTTTTATATATTTTATTGTTATTATTGCAGCCTTAATATTATATCATTCAGGTAAAATGACTTGGTTGATGTCTCCCAATGACATTTATATATAATATTTATATATATTCATTTTTAGCTCTCATATAAATATGTCTACCACTATAAGTAGCCTAAGTTCTCACTCTGTGGAAGAAAGAGCGAGGGAGAGAGAGAGGGAGGCTGTTCAGTAAATACAAGAGACAATAAATCAATGATATATCAAGATCATTTTGAATTGATTGATGATTTCCATTGAATTGATGTTAACAGATAGAAGAAATAATAATTATAATAGATAAATAAATACAAAAGAATATATAAAAGAAAAGATAAGAATATAACTAAAAGATATGAATCGATCGCTGTTGTTGATATGAGTATAATCTGATGCATGATTAGTTAAAGTTATTGCTATGTATATTATTTGTAATAAAAACTATTTTTTGTCAACTCTAGTCTAACTCCTCTACAACTAAAGCCCTTTAATTGTCAGAGCATAAAAGTTTTCATTTTGTGAGATGGCTGACTAAATATTTAAATGCAAAAGAGATGTCAAATAGGACGGGGAAGCTGCATATTTTCAATCAGCAAGACAGACAGAGAAAGAGACAGTGAGAAGGAAGGAGGGGGAATGGGTAGTCGGGACAGAGGATTGACAACTGTCAGTGACATGGGACTCGGGCGACAATCGAGAAATCAGATGTGTTGTCGTTTCATATATGTGCAGCTTTTTCATATTTTATGAAATTTTAATAACTTCCAGAGAGAGCGACATCAAGCTGCCCAAGCTGACTCCGGCATGTTGCCATCGAGTGTTGCTAGTGTTGTTGTTGCTGTTGTTGTATCTATGCTGCTTTGCCCTTCAACGATTGTTGTGTAGCCGCGCAAACATGGAACACGGAACGGAACAGCACGGAGCGTAACGCAGCGCAACACAAACTCGAGCCAGCAATAACAAATCTTTTTTAGATTTACGCACACATTTGGGGTATGCCATCAAAATATTGTTATT